AAGAATTAAGAATCTATATTAAGGGTGTCTAACGAGCGGGGTTTAACCGTACCCAAACCGATTAAAACCAGAATCGGCCCGGACCGGTACAAGAGGGTCGGGTGAGGCTAGGTTAATGTGGTACGGAGGGTTGGTCCGTTTACGTTGGGGCTAGGATGGTTAACCTGTTCTACAATAAAAATCATTGACAGGGAGATATGATGTGAATACAACGATTTTTATTGTAGAACAGGTTAATCGGCCCAGACCAGACCGACCCAGATCGGTATAAGAGCTACTTATTTTTTTTATATAGTGGGGCCTTTTTCTGACCGTTGGCAACAGTCTTTTGGCCTTGGAGTCGTTGCCCAACGGCAGATTTGCAAAAATAACCCATTTTGGGCTTTTTTTTTAAAACTAAACACTTTTTGTAATTACCTAATTTGCCCTTAGAAAAACTATAAGTACACCCCCCTCTTCTTCATTTATTCACTCATCTCTCATTTCTCAAACTCATATTCTCAATTATCATTCTCTCATTCTTCACCTAAAGTGAAATTAATATTTGACTCTTATTTTTTTGGAATTTCATTTATCGTATTATTTAATATTTGAAGTTTGAAGTTTGAACAATTGACGTTTCTTCGTGGTAATATTGCAGTTGCTAAATCATCAGGTGTTCAATTTATTACCGAATTCGGTGCACTCCCTCCAACTCTTTCTCTTATTTACTATTTTATTTGCATATTTAATTTTTGCAAGTAGTTAAGTTTTCACAATATGTTTAATGCTGCAAAAAGAGTTTGTAATAAGATTACTAATCGGAAAAATAAAAAAGAGGTAGTACTTCTGCTTCAGCATCTGGTAGTAATTTAAATGACTCTACACATATTCCTGAAACATTACTTGATAATAATATAGATCATGAACAATTACAAGAAAATTTCGGTATAGAAGATCATGAATTAGAAATGGAAGATGAGATACCACTTACACCTAGTAGTGTTGGAGCTGGTAGCAGGGATGGTAGTCGTGGTGCTAGTAGTAGATCACCTGTGGCCCCGGCTACTAATCGGAGAAAAAAAGTAAGGTTTGCCGATTTTTTGACGAAATAGAAGGTATTGATAGAGTTAAATGCAAACTTTGTAATGATACTTTTAAACATAAGACTAGAGGACAATCAGGGGGGACTGGGACACTTAGTAGATGTATGAGAATTGAGCATCTTATAGAATGTGGCTCTGATGGAGATGAAAATCAAGCAACTCTAAACCTTACTACTGGAGGACTTATGAAATATAATAAAATAAAGGATCGTGAGGAGTTAGCAAAAATGATTGCTTTGGGTTGTCTACCTTTTCCTTTTGCTTCTTAATCATATCTTATTATGTATATTCAAAGGATTTATAATCCTTTATTTAAAGAGATCCCTAGAAGTACTTGTAGATCTGATATATTTAGACTTCATGGACAATGTCAAACATACATACATTATTTGTTTCGCCACCTTCGTTGTAGAGTTTCTCTAACTTGTGATATTGACCATGCTGTTAATAGAAATGATTATTTGACAATTACATGTCATTGGATAGATGATAATTATTGTATGCAAAAATGTATTATCACTTTTAAATATGATGAAGATCAGAGTCATATTGATGTGTTTATAAGTACTACTATCTATGAAGTTGTTGAATTTTATAATCTCAAACAAAAAATATTGTGTATGTCTTTTGATAATGCTTCTAACAATAATGCCGCAATTTCAATATTAAAACTGCATTTGCAACCACCACTTGACGAAATTTTCATGTTAGGTGTGCATGTCATGTTTATAATTTAATTGTTAAAAGTGGCCTTGATTTATTTTCAACTGAGATTACTCATATTAGAAGAGCAGTTGGTGTTATTCAAGAAAATAATAGACAATCTAGAATTAGGGAATTTAAGAATAAGTGTACCGAGAATAACCTTAAACCCAGATTCATGCCAGACGAAATTGTTACTAGATGGAATTGTACATATATATTTTTAAAATGTTGCCACAAATATAGATTCCCAATAACTGAAGTTGCTAATGCACATTGTACTGATCCAAACCGTATGTTAACAACTACTACTTGGGAGGTCATTAATGATGTTGTTAAATTTTTACATAAATTTTATACAACTACTGTTGAGTTTTTTGGAGCATTTTACCCTACAGTTACTATGGCTTTAGTACATATAGCTAAAATTTCTTTTCTACTCTTTGAATTTAAGAAGAAAAAAATATATAGGGATGTTGTTGAACAAATGCAAGCAAAATTCAAAAAATATTTCTTTCCAATTCCTCCGATTTACTTAATTGGTGCTCTTTTAAATCCTTCTATTAAGATGTCTGATTGTCACCAATTAATAAATGCTTTATATACTTATATGGAGATTTGACCAACTGAAACCCCATATATATATATATATA